TTATTTAATAAAGATTATTAAATAAATCAAACATTTGAAATGCCAATACAGCAATAAAAAGAAAAAAAATAACTTTAAGATCTTATACAAAAATAATTTGATTATTGTCTTTATTGTTACATTAATAATTTAGATTGTAGTAAAAAGTGTTTTAAGCATTACAATTAAATGTTAACAAATATTTCATTATATAAAAAAACAAAACATTAAGTCACAAGAATCTCTTGAAATTTATTTCTTATAAAGAACCTAAACTATAAAAAAAACAAAACTATCACGTTTCTCCATCTCGTATCGCGGCCCTTACCTCTACAACAAACTAATAGCTAAAAATACTATAATTACATAACTACTTAACCATAATTCTCTGAAAACACTTTTAAAAAAACTTGTTCTAAACTTAAACAATTTTACAAACGTATATTAAAACAAATAACTAAAAACCCCTAAAAAATCCACTTTAAAGCAAAGTAAATGTTAGATTTTGTTTATATTTCGTACATGTCAATATACTAAGTATAACAAACCATGTAACTATATATTTATGTGTATCAAATACAGCTCTTTTCCGTTTTTTGTTTTTGATTATCTAGTAGCTTTTTATGTGTGACTCTTATGCCACCATGAGACTTTGACAAACTGAAATTTCTTAATAAATTAAGTATACAAAATATCGCAACTAAAAGCGGTTTCTTGATGACAAGACCAAAATGGTCTTCTGCAAGTTTCCCGCGTCTTTTAACAGTGTTACTTTTTTATATATATTATTATTTGTATTAAAAAAAGTTTTCTTATTATATGTACGGTATTTTTTTTATACAATGTAAACGAACTAGTTTTTATTTATGATCACGTATTTGTAAAGCTTTGATAAAAGACAAAAAAAAAAAAAAAAAAAAAAAAAAAAAAAAAAAACCTTTTAAGATTCTTGAAAGAATAATAAATACACCTTTTTTTATTTTTATAACTTAAAAAAATGGAAAGATAATATTAAAACTTTTTTTTAATCTATCAAACAATACCATTTTTTAAAATGTTTTGCAACAAATTTTAAAGTATATACTAATCCGCAACTACGTTTGCCGAATATTGGCTATGCTATAAATGTAAGAACAGCAAAATATTAAGCCCAAACTAAATTGGCCAAATGTTGGCCCAACGTAGTACGATATTTGCAAAAAACCGATTTGTAGAATTGCAATATTACGCGAAAAAAAAGCATTGATTAAATGTTGGCCCAATATAGTACGATATTTGCAAAAAACCAATTTGCAGAATTGAAAATATATATATACACTAAAAAAATATATAGGTTTTAGAGAAAATAAATGGATTGCACCCAAAAAAAACATAGATTATTTTAGTATTTTGAAAATGTGACAAGTCACAAAATTAAATTTTTAAAAGAGAATGAAAAATATTTTTCCTGTAAAAAATTATAATTTTATCTTTTCTAAAAGAAAAATAAGCTTTTTAAATAACCTCACTTTTGAAAAAAGTGTGACTTATCACGTTTTTAAAAGACAGCATTTAATTGTGAAACGAGTAGCTTCTTAACTAGAATTACTGATTTTTTCATGACTATCTGAAGAAATTATTCCCTGACTTCTCCAGGTTTTCCACGATTTTAGCCAATATTAACAACTTCTCCAGATTTTCAAGGTACAGTACGGACCTTGTCCAATGTTTGTAAATATTTTTTTTTACATATTTTAGTTCTGAGTTTTATAAATAAAAATTTTTAAAAATAATATCATCTATAAAAATATTGTTTTATCATTGTCTATTAGATAAATTTAAATAAACGTTTATATAATGAATAATAATGAACTACCAGCAACTATTAAAACTTTAAACTAATATGAACACTCTGTCGTTTTTTTTCAACAGTTGATTTTAAAATTGGTGACACCAACTTTGAAATCCAACAACAAATTTTTGTTGCGTTTATAAACTTAATTGTTCTCAAAACGACTAAAAAACCTGGCTAGTTTTTCGCAACTCAAATAATTTCCGTGGTCAGTATTCGAAACCAAGCCTGTGGTATAAGCTTTGATATTTTTATTATTATACAATAAAATGTTAATTAACACTCTGACATTTTGACCATAATGTATGAAAAAGTCTTTTAAATTGTAAAAGTTAAAGTTATGAAAAAAGATTTTCAATCATCAGACATAAAGATTTTTATATAAAACCATTTAATAAATTTTGATCATTTAACTTCAAACATTGAACTTTTAAGGGTAAACATTAAACTTCTGTAAAGAGTTTGGAGTCACAGGTAAATCCCAAAGTTTGATAATATATTTAGTTTTATTAAAAGATATTGAGGATAAATCATCTACATCAAGATATACACAATATTTTGTCTCTTTGTTCTTTATTTTGGCTGGTCATTTTCGCTGTCTTCCTTTTTTGTCTCCAGAGCAAAAGCTAAGCCTTCTGCTAAATTCAATCTTGCAATGCTTTAAAATTCTATTAATCAAATTATTAATAATTAAGTTATAACTAAAGTTAATGTTGTTAAAGCTTAAAGTTGTTAACTGTTTTACACAAACTAAATATGAAAAATATCCAGAGATATTAAATTAAAAAATAATAAAACCAAGAATAATGTCCCTCTACCTCACAGATGGAATATTAGAAAGCTCAACATAAGTAGAATATAAATTCTAGTAAGATCACTTTTTGCACACTGTTTTAATGTGAAACCCCATCTACGTTAGTAGATGGGGTTTCACAATCAAACTCGAAAAAAATCAAACAAAAGAGACATATTCAAAATGTAAAATATTAGATTCTAACATTATCAAGGCCACATATATATTATTGATACCTTTAATAATATATCTTATAGTAGCTATATAATCTAAACTATTATAAATAAATTATAAAAAAAAAAGTTATGCTGTATGACATTTCGAATGTTTGATTTATTTAATAAAGAAGACATTTAAAATGTCTTCTTTATTAAAAAAATCGAACATTTGAAATGTTTTATTTATTTAATAAAGATTATTAAATAAAACAAACAATTGAAATGCCAATACAGCAATATAAATAAATTAATAACTTTAAGATCTTACACAAAAATAAAACAGATTTTTATAGCAAAATACTAAGCCTAAACTACATTGGCAAAATGTTGGCCCAACGTAGTACGATAATTGCAAAAAACCAATTTGCAATATTACGCCGAAAAAACAACATTACCGGACGGGCATTTGTTTTTAAAAGTTACGTTCTAAATGTGTTTTAAATGTCTTTTAAACGTCTTTTAAACATTAATGTTTAAAAGCCGAATAAAAGACATTTTTATGTTGGGTAGCTAAATGTTGGTCCAATATAGGATATTTGCAAAAAACTGATTTTCAGAATTGAAAATAATACGCTGAAAAAAAGCATTAGCTAAATATTGGCCCAACGAAATAAACTTGCCAATGTTAAAACTTACGTTTGGCCAATGTAAGCTTGCTGTGTGGGAGGCGCAGTGAGTAAGCATACATCCACTGATCTATAGACAGGCACAGTGAGTGTACATACATCAATTAAGGGTTTTGGTTTGGGCATGCATTCATTAAAAAAAGAAGAAAAAAAATCAACCAATCAGAAATCACTACCGTGACTTTAAGAAAAAAATTAAAGGAACGATACCATTGCGCGACCAACAACGTAATAAATGACTAAATCCCAGTTTTGACACAAAACATTACAAAAAATTAAAAAGAGTAATAAGTTGACAATATTATTATATAAATACAATTTAGGAAAAACAAAACTTTTTTTTTACTTGATTGAATATGCCGCTAAAGGTCCCATCGAAGTCGCTTGCATCATAACTAATTTTGTTGCCAACAATATTATCTAAAGAAATAATATTTGTTGCAAAATAGTCTGTCAATCATAGAGCATGTTTTAGAAAACCAAAATAAGCAAGTAAGATTAAAAACAAAGTAAAAAAACTTTGCTTTTGAAATTGATATCAACTTAACAAATTAAAAGACAACCAAAATAAAATTTTATATTAAAATATTTTTTATTAGTTTCGGAATATCATAAAAAAAACAAAATAAAAATCCAACGCAAATGTATTTGAAGTTAATAAATAGGAGAACATGAGCACCGTTTTACTGTTTCACATTCTGCTATTTATTTGTTTTCTAAGTTGAAACAGCTATAAACTCGCATTCAATACTCGCAATTTATGCATTTATAATTAGGATAAAATAGTACCTCACTTTTACCTGCTTTTTTTTATATAAGTTTTTAAAAGTCAAAATATGTATATATAAATATATACTTTTTCTGACAAGAAACTTTCATCTAGGCCATATATATATATATAAATATAAATATATATATATATATATATATATATATATATATATATATATATATATATATATATATATATATATATATATATATATATATATATATATATATATATATATATATATATATATATATATATATATATATATATTATATATATATATATATATATATATATATATATATATATATATATATATATATATATATGTATATATATATATATATGTACATATATATATATATATACATATATATATATATATATATATATATATATATATATATATATATATATATATATATATATATATATATATATATATATATATATATATATATATATATATATATATAATCAAATGCTTGTAGGGTAGGTTTCAAGTTAAACCAAAATCACTTTAATTTCATCTTAAAAACAGTTCTCTTTGTTTTGAACAACAGAAGAACTTCTTTTTTAATAGTTAAACATTATACTTTATAATAATATTTGTAATATAACTTTACGTATATTACATAACAATAAAAAAAATATTATATCATGCATGTATTCTAAATAGTTTTCACACACGCCTTAGGATTTTTTTAAGGTATTATCAATGTAATAAAAAATCATATTTTTTATTGAAAAATATCAATTTAAAATGTCTAAAATCTTCTAGGAGTATGGTTTCCAATGATGACTCGTTTTGCCGGTTGGGATTCAATTTTTTGGAATAAAAGCTACGAAGATTATGAAAATGGTTTTGGTTTGGTAAATCAACAATGGATTGGTTTAAAAAAAATTAACCAAATTACAAGCAATTTTTTTACAGACATGAGGGTTGATTATTTTCTAAGAAAAGACCTTGCGTTCAGTACAATCTATAATAAAGTATATGTTGATTCAAGTAATAACAACTACATGTTTAGCTACGATACTTATGATTCAAGAGGATGTAAGTTTTCGTTTATATATATATATATATATATATATATATATATATATATATATATATATATATATATATATATATATATATATATATATATATATATATATATATATATATATATATATATATATATATATATATATATATATATATATATATATATATATATATATATATATATATATATATATATATATATACATATATATATATATATATATATATATATATATATATATATATATATATATATATATATATATATATATTATATATATATATATATATTTATATATATATATATATATATATATATATATATATATATATATATATATATATATATATATATATATATATGTATATATATATATATATATATATATATATATATTATATATATATATATATATATATATATATATATATATATATATATATATATATATATATATATATATATATATATATATATATATATATATATATATAAATATATATATATATATATTCAATATTAAAACAAAAAAAAAAAATGTGTAAATTTATATATACCTATATATTTCTTTTTTAATATAGCATTGGAACCAGATTTATTTAACGCAAATGGTATTACGTTCAAAAGTTGCAGTAATTGGTGGACCCCTGAGTGCAATCAAGAATTGACTCCTACAGCTTGTAACTATATTTCATATGGATCAACAGAAAAATTATTATCAATACAGTTTTTTTTGCGAACAAATGAAAACAGATCTAAATAAGATATATACTATAACATTTGATTTTTGATTTGCTGTTAACACACTTAACACCGATAATGCTATGCACAAGTACAGTAATATGATACGTGTTGAAAAAAAAAATTAAACTGTGTGTGGATTTATTGCACTTATGTATATATATATATATATATATATATATATATATATATATATATATATATATATATATATATATATATATATATATATATATATATATATATATATATATATATATATATTATATATATATATATATATATATATATATATATATATATATATATATATATATATATATATATATATATATATATATATTTATATATATATATATATATATATATAAATAAATATATATACATGGAACTTTTTATATTTAAATTGTATATGTTTACAAAATAGTTTTCAAAAAATTGTTTTTAATTTTCAACAGGTTAAAGAATTTACTAAACATTGAAAATAAATAATGTAATAATAATAAAGAAAGCATATGTAAAACATTATATCGTGAATCGCTTCTTGATTGTCTAGAATGAACTGTTGTCTGGAATGAACTGTTACCTGGAATGAACTTATTACAAGTTTGCTCTAGATAGCACTTGTTTTAATAACATTTTATCTTCTTTAAAATAATTAGTCTATGCAAAACCAGTTTAAAAAAATATTATTGTTGATGCAAAGCAAGATAAAAAAACGAATTAATAAATGTTATAATGTAAATAACATCAACATTAATTTAAAACAACAACAAAAAATGAATGTTTAAAAGGTAAAAGTAAAAGTAATTAACTTTAACAAACATTAAAAATTTCTTATAATCAACCGTTTCCGTAAACAACCGTAAACAACCGAGTATTTTAATTTACTTAATATAGAAACTTTAGGATGGTTCAAATTTAAAGGATGGTTCAAATTTAAGGATGGTTCAAATTTAAAATTTAAAAGCACACTTTCAAATTTAAATTTAAATGGTCGATTGTGAAGAAAAGTGTCTTAATGTTAATTGATCATACAGATGAAATAACATCATGTTCTTTTTTTTTCATTAAACTTTTGCTATTTTTTTCATCAAATTTTCAAAAGTTTAAAGTAAAAAAGTTAAAAAAATTTCCAATCATAATATTTAAAAAACCAGATTCCAATCACATGTTTAAAATTTAACTTTATGTAACAACAAGGAGCAAACTCCAAACATTTATATATTTATGTATATGCAAACTTTTCAAAAGTATTGTGATAATAGGAGACTGTTAACAATGTACCCGTAAACTTTTAACTTCCTTTTTATGCCATCAGTGTGAGAGCGATGAGTTTATAACACTTGAATATACTTTTTTTTTAACATTTTAAATGATATGCAATAATCTCTTAGTGTTCGAAAGCTACGAAAATGTAAATTTTGAGCAACCTCCTAATTATTTAGGGGATTTATAATAATATTTTTAATAAACTTATAAGATCGTCTGACAATCAAATTTTTGTCTACAACATCATTTGTATTTTTCAAAAAATAGTAATTTATTATACAAATAATTCTTATTTTATTTATTTTTTTCTTACTTTCCAAACTTAATTTCACCGTTGATTTTTTTTTATCACGTAAAGACATTTTTAAATGAAGTGATTAATTATTAAATTTTATAAATTTTTATTTTTCTAAATTTGGCTTCACAAATCATTTCTTTTCTTTTATAAAATGTACAAACGGCGGGGACAAGAAGAATACAAAAATAGTCTTATAAACCCATAATTATCCGAACATAACAAAAGTCATTAAACACCTTTCATAAAAATTATTAAATTATTAAAAACTCGTCATTAAACTTTTTAAACTTAAACTTCAGAAAAACACATGATCATCATTATGTGTTTTTTTTAATGTTTGAGTTTAATAAGTTTATTTTAGTTAGCAATTATAGTACTGTATTTTTGGGTAAATATCATACTACAAGAAAAGAATTATTTTATTTTTTTAACATATAAAAGCAACACTTTATATTTTTGAACATATATATAAAATTTTATCTTTTTAACATATAAATAAAATGGTTCCATAAAAATATAAATTAAACTAAATACAATACTTAACTTTAAATAAATTTAATTACAATTATTGCGTGGTATTGCACAACGCCAAAAGCGATGTAAAAAGGTTTGAAAATGTTAATTTGAAAATGCAATAATTCCTTTTTTCCTCAAATTAATTAGAATTACTTAATCAACAGCATCTTCAACTAAAAGTATTATTAACTTGTAGAATTAACTTGTAAAAATACGGGTCTTTGTAAGTCTATTCCACACAAACTTTTCCCCTTATTTTCTTAATCTAGCTGTCCGTATCGGCAAATACAGGTCTTTTCTTATACTTCTAAATTTATCTATTCCACGCCAGTCATTTCTTTACTTTTTCCTTATTTACTTCAATATTTTTTAGTAAAAATATTGAAGTAAATAAGGAAAAAAATTCGTTTAAAAAAAGTAATGGAAAAAAATTCATTAAAAAAAGTTAGCTTTCAGAGCAAAAAAAAACTTCAACACACGCACCTTTTCCGCATACGTACATAGCTTATTTAACCCCGTTTATTTATTTTTAAAGAAAAATTCTAAACTAAAGTACTTCCTACTTTGAGACAAGCCGTGGACCATGGTTTATAGTCGCGTCCTAGCCATTTTCAATAGTTAATAATTACTATATTTATTATTATTATATTCTTAGTTTTGAATAATAACGGTCTTGTTTATTGTTACTTTAGTATTAGACGGAAAGGGTAATGCGATTCTTAAAAACGTTAGTCCCTTAAAGCGTCAAAACTCATGCAAAAAAAAAAAAAAAATTTATAAAGTTAAAGTTAATTAGTTATTATTTAGCTCTTACTTATGGTATTTATTTTGTTTTCATTTTGCTTTTTAAAAACATGTTGAAGCGCCTAACTAAATGCATAATGTTTATTGACGTTTTCTTACAAAAAAAGTGCTGCGGCTCTTCTAACACTACTATTAAGTTCGGCATTATTATATAGAAGATAGATAGATTATAAAATAGTTTTTCACTTAAAAGGACAAACTCTATTCTACATTAACCTTGTCTATATTTCTCCCTCTATTATTTTTTAGTTAAGAATAGATTATGTGCTAGAAAAAAAAAAAAAAATGTTACATATGCCCCTTTTCGTATGTTTATATTTAAAGCTTAATTCAATAAAAAGTAATAGAAAACTGCAAAATAGGGTAACAACGTGAAAATTATTCAAATATTATTTACAACAATTTGAATTGCGTTTTATTAAAATAGCTTTATTTTATGATATGAAGATTGATGATTCTTCTTCTTCGCCTTTAGAAAATGATTAACGATTTGAAAGACTTTTAATTTAATTATAAAAGCATTATCTAAAAATGAAATAAAATCATTATTGATAGCACTGTATGCACATTTATTTGTTTTATGTTAATTCATTCGAAAAATGAAAAATACGAAACAAAATTTAGTAATATTAAATAAATATTAGACACTTACTTTGTGAGAATACTTTTGTAAAAGTCTCAAATATTTGATTGGAAGGCAGGAAATACTCTTTTTTTTAAAAAAAATTCAGTTTTATTAGAAATGCAAAAGATAAAAACTCTTTCTGACACAAAAAAATTGGGTATTTTATCTTAAAATATTTCTTGGCTTCTAGTGAATGATTAGGAATAAGTTTCAGTAATGAAGCTACCCAATAATCATTTTTAACAATAGACACTAACGTGAAAGTAAGCCAAGCTGTCTATCAACACAAAACATCACAACAACATTAAAGGATGACAAACAATAACACCAGTAGTGTAGGCAGGGTTTTTGCTGTTTTATATATATTTAGAAGCTGATGAAGAGTTTAACTTTGGTATGTCTAAAAAAATTCAGGTTAGGAAAAAACTTTTTTTAAACATTTTTTGAGTATGCTAACTTAACTGGAAACTGACAACGTTTAAGTGTAAAAAGTAAATTTGCATCTAATGGAGGTAATTGAATTCGAAGAACAAATACCCTGTTACCAACTGATACACCTGTTAAAACCTCACCGTCAATGTAATTGTTGCGTAGTGCACGTACCATTAAACGGGTTCCATTATAAAGTTCACCTTTGAGATCTAAATTTCTAAGTAGCATTATAACAGCACCAATTTTTGATTTTAGGCAATGAACAGGCATACCTGATGGAGTAAAATTATTTAAAAATTCGACTGGAAATTTATTAATTTCATTACGATCATCAGTTTCAATGCTATCTGAACTTAAATATGTTTTCACATCACCGGGTAAACGATGAAAGACTTCTTTATTTATTGCCAATGAATCAACAATTGTTGGCGTTAAAATTGCACGTTTTGCTTAATCAGCTTCTTCTGCACCACTGAAAATCTTCTCCACAATAGAATCATTATCACTGAGAAAGCACTGTTCAGGTATTTCAATACACCTTCGCAAAAGGATCTTCAGGCTTGACATGCAAAAATCCACTGCGAAGCTTTAAAATCCATTGAGAAAATTCCTCTTCTTCTATATGAACCCTCATATATACAGTTAATGAGAACCTTTGCTTGGTGAATTTAATCCTAGATCATATAATTTTTAAATGTATTCCAAAGGTGTAAAGGATCATCAGGTTCACATTAAGTTAATATGATGGAAAACAGGAGTTTAATTTGTTTACGCATCCGAGTTGCAACAGCTTCAGTTATTGTATTTCTCCACTCAATGTCATCTTGCAATAAACCTCAATGATAGCATGCTTCACGAAATGTATTAAAAACAGTAGGGGAAAGAGGGGCAACATGGAGAATGGGGCAAGATGGGTTTTCATATAACAATTCAACAAAAAATTTTAAAATTTGTTGAAAACGAAACTGTATTTGCATCTTGTATTTTAAAACACCAATTGGTTTTTTGAAATATTATCAGCGCAATTTTATACGCATAAGTTTACTTTTTGCGCTTAACTCCACACTTTCGGTTTCTCATAATGGATGGTGTCCTTCAAGTTTAACTTCTTTAGAAGTAGTTTTTTGCGATTTGTGTTTATTTTGTGTTACTTTAGTTAGAATTTTTGGTAGTTTTTAAAATTTTATAAAATTGGAGA